CAAATTAATGCAGAACACCATGAAATTCCAAAAGGTTCACATACTTTTTCTTACAACTGTAAATTATATAGTTTATTCTTGGCCAAGACATATTCCCATGGCTTAGCATGCTATCAAATCTCTCAAATCTATTTTGAGAGAGTTGTTTTAAAACTGAAAACTTCTAAAGTAATTGTGTTAGAAGACATCATATAAAGATGTGACAAACTGCTTCAAATTCAAAACCATTGTTTTGAGCTCAAAATGTATCAAATTTGAAACTTTTTATATACCCCTTATTTAGCATTATGTGTCAATACATTATATAATCAAGTATCTTGACTGTGTGTACAGGTGCATAGTGTTATATTAGCAAACAGACTAATTCTAACCAAAATCTTATTTTCCAGTAGGTAGCTGAAGTGTAATTTAAGATTTTAAATTTTAAAAAATATAGTTTTCTGTTAGTATATATGCCAATTTATACAGTTAAGCTTACCATGCACCAAGCTACTGGAAGGGGCAACCAAAGTATCCCACAAACAAATATTTCTAAAAAGAAATAAACACAACAATAGTAATGTATGTAATAATATAATGATGAAGTAAGAACAAACTGAATCAGTAATTAGAATTAAATAAGCATCAAATAAGAGCAACAATTCCTTTGAAATCATATGCAACATTTTGCTTTTATGGGAAAAAAGGAAATTTGAAAATAATACCTGTATGATTTTTTTAATGTAAGCAACACCTAACAGTTTCTATTAAAATATCTTTATAGAGGTTATAGTAACTCTGAGAAGAAAACCACAAAAAGAAAACATAGTAATGGAAATAGTACAATGCAGATACGGGCAGGTAAAATTATACTTCAAATCAAAGCTTTTAAACACATATAACAACAACAACAACAACAAAAAGCACTACCTTGACATGGCTGTGGGCCTTGCGTGCTTTGAGGAGGATGAGAGCTAAGCCAGAGGTTCAACCATACTGGACAGGTCTCATCAGAGGAGCCAGACAAAGAGTGTCTCTCCCATAAACAATATGGTGAGATGTAATTTACAGAAACCTATACTGGATCTGTTGTCGCCAGGGCCAACAAGGACTATGCTAGGTGTTCTAGTTCCTGGACATCTGGTGACAAGTGGGCTACAGGACTCAGGACTGAGCAACCCGGAGTTGCTATTGGCTTCTGTTATTTCTAGGTGCTTGATTATTCAGTCATGTGGCAGGGAGTTGAATGCCTTCTTGTAATCAATCCAAGCTATATTCAAGTTGGTCTTCCTCTCTTATAGTTTTTCAAAATCATCTTGTCAATTAGGAGCTGATCTTTTGTTCCTCTGCTGTTTGGGCAGTTTGCTTTCTGCTCAGATGGAAAGAGCTTGTTTTCTAGTTGCTGTTGGACTGCATCAGCTACCACAGTAGTTAGCAAATTGGAAGTTGTTGGTAAGCAGGTAATTGGCCTGTAGTTGCCTGGTGCTGCCCCTTTTGTAGGATCTTTCATTATCAGGTAGGTTTTGCCAGATATTAACCAATCTTCAATTTCACCTCTTTGCAGAAGGTTGTTAAACTGCTTGTCAATGAGTGGTGCAGAGCAGTCAGATGTTTCAACCAAAAACCATGCAGTTCATCTTGCAGGTAATCTTCCTTGCCCTTTTCTCCACTGTTTCTGCTATTATTACAAGTTCTTTCATTTCACCTTATTTTTTATTCTTATCCACCTCCTTTTTCCAAGCTGGTTTCTTGATATATTTCTTTGGGTTGTCCCGTAACTTTGCCCAGAACTGCACTGTTTCTTCTTTGTCAGGTGTTGACTGGTTCATTGCAGTCTCTCCATTGATGATTGGTAGAAACATTTCTGATGCAACTGAAATTGGAGATTCTGACTATAATGTGCAATTCGAAGTTCGTATCTGCTGATATTCTTGGCTATGGCTGTTATTTGCTGCTTTATTATTTTCAGTGCTTCTTTGATCTTCCTTGTTTCTAGGTGATATTTCTT